ACATTACATACATTGCGTTCATGCAAGTATACGACTCGTGCGACTACTAAAAAAACGGGATGGCTGCATATTGACACTATGTTAGCTCCTATACGATTCCCGTTTTTGGCCCATATGATCCACTGTGATTTTCGGATTCCCTGCAAAAACCGACTCATAGGAATCCCCCGAATAAACGGACCAAACGGACATTTGTCCGTCTGTCCGATCGGACGTGTCGAACTGCTTCGATCAAGGAGTTTCCAATGAATGGTCTCCAAGAGAGCAATTCCAACACGCTCCTAACTCCGAAGATCAGAGTAGGAGAGACGTCCAAAAGCGTGATGTTCAGCAGGAACATCACATGAGCTGCACCCTTGCGCACACCCATGTTGCTAGAGGACAGGCACATCAAATGGTGGACTGGTGTGTGTGTGTGTGCAGTCAGTGATCTTGGAGGACTTAGCGCTGGCGCTCCTGTTTTTCCCGCAAACATGGAGGCGGTGGTGCCACTGAAGATCACTTGTGGACAAAGGGGGGGGACGATTTGTGGCATGGCGCTCCTGAGTTTCCACATGAAACTTCCAGTCGCGACGCCAAATGTCCAGGCCCCAGCACACTTGAAAAAACAAAAGGATGATTGTAGCTTGATGGAGGGAGGCCAAGAACAGTAGATAGGCCTCCGACTCCGCGCCAAAAACAGCCTCCTTGATTTCCCACAAAGCAACAATACACCTAGCCTTCGAGCTCCATCACTCCCCCACACGACCGACGACAACTGGCCTTGAAATTGCAAAAAGCAATCTCTCCAGCTGCCGCCTCTGGCGAGAAAAAACGGAAAGGTCTCCACGGTGCGGCTGATGTTGGATCCAGCGCTGCGACCGCTCCTTCTTTCGTCCAAGCTTCTTGCGCTGAGGAAAGATCGCCTCTGTGGGTCAGTTCCATGGCGACTGTCGGCTCTTGGCCCTTCTTGGCTCTTGGCGCGTCGCACTTTTGCAAGTTCAATGGGAAGAAGAAAGACACGGTGGGAGCGGTGGAAATACAACAATCAGCTCATACAACCGTTACGAAACGCTTACCATTCTCCCCACCCTTTTTTCCATGTAGATAATGTTGGAAATCGGTTCTGGCGGACATCAGACTGCTTGTCTTCGTCCAAACGGATTGACAACGTTGTGGCCCATCAAGCCATAATTGCCAACCAGCCGTGCCATCATGCGACCCATCATGCAGAGGCACCGTCCATAGCGATCTCCGATCCGCCTAATAGGAAAATAATCATCTCTCAAGTCTTTTAGAATAGTTATTTCCTGTAGAGATGATTATTTTCCTATTAGGCGGATCGGAGATCGCTATGGACGGTGCCTCTGCATGATGGGTTGCATGCTGGCACGGCTGGTTGCCAATTATGGCTTGATGGGCCACAACGTTGTCAATCGGTTTGGACGAAGACAAGCAGTCTGATGTCCGCCAGAACCGATTTCGAACATTATCTACATGGAATGCGCAAAGCAAAAGCCTTGCACGAAAACTCAAATTTCCCAAACCTTTACTGGATGTTTGCAATCCAGAAAGGCCGGTACAAAACCCACGTACAGAACTCCCGCAGGATTCAGTCTGGGATTTTTGTGGCGCTCAGACGTTTGTTAGTCCAAGCCCACAATTCCATGTTTTCAGATTCCCTGCAAAACCGACTCATAGGAATCCCCCGAATAAAACGGATCAAAACGGACATTTGTCCGTGTGTCCGATCGGACGTGTCGAACTGCTTCTATGGAGGAGTTGGTCTCCAAGAGAGCAATTTCAACACCTTCCTTCACCGTACATGACGACATGGTCATCTGTGGCATTGATGATGCCACCCTCTTCCAAGGACGCACACAAGCCGAGAGAATCGCTTACAAAATATTCTCTGACGATTTCACCACAACGATGGACAGCACCATTGACGAACTAAACGAAGAGTTCAAGACCCTCGCAGGACTGACGATCGCGCAAGGACAGATACGCTTGATGCCAGCTATCAAAAAGAACATCCGCGCATTCATCCAATGGTGCAGAGACGAGATTCGCATGGGACGAGACCCTTCCACAACACCGTTTCCCGTCGTTGATGCAGCCAAACTGCTCAGACGCATGAAAACACACGAACAATACGTGTATGGATCCAAGTTGATGTCGCAACAAGCCCTACCGCAAGATTTCACCAACGACGTCCAATGGGAAGATTGGTGCCCAACGTTCGAGAACTACCTTCGCACCATACCAGGAAGAGACGGTGTGCCACTGAGCTACATTGTGAGAATGAACGATGCAGGAACGCTCACCCTGCACGAAGATTTCTTGGAAACTTACGTCAACATGGCACCACACGTTGGCGAAGCATACGTCATGGATAACGCCAAAGTCCTGGTCCTTCTCAGCAAGTTTATCGTGGGGAATACAGAAGCTGAAGCAATTCTCCAAGCCATCAACATTGCGGGCAATGGGAGAGAAGCATTCAACGCACTACGTACCCACTACGAAGGCGAAGGAATCCTAGCCAGCGACATTGTCGAAGCCGAACACACCATCAAAGAACTGTGTTACGTTGGCGAAAAACAAAAAATGAACTGGTCCATGTTTGAACGAATGTTAAAGAAAGCGTATGCAACATGCGACAAACATGAGGGGAGAGAAGTCCATTCAGACGCAATGAAACTGCGTAGCCTACAAAACAAGGTTACAGCACCATTCCTACAACTGAACAAGACGGCAATCGATACGGAAATTGGAAAACGACCGATGTTGATGACCTTCACTACAGCATTACGAATCTACCGAACTGCAGTGAGAGAAAAGTTTCCCCAGGGAACCAGCAATGCAACCGATAGGGGACGATACTTGGGCGAAACTAGGGCTGACAACGATCGCGACAGAAGCAGAAGCCGAAACGATGGAGGAGGCAACAAACGTCGTGACGAAGAAGAAATTACTCTGAGTAATGGAGAGAAGATCTGGTACCATCCTAGCTACCGTTTCTCTCGGGCACACCTACAAGCATTTACCAACAAACAACGTGAGCGTATGGCGAAGGAAAGAGCTGCATACAGAGAAAGTCAAGGATTGCCAGCAAGAAGGGCAACGGGACGAGCCACACAAACGCAACAAGTGTGACAGAATTCTAATAGGAACGGGACTCGTGACTCGACCTATAGGATTACCAGGTTGAAGTGTAGCCTGTGCCTTGCACGCGTTGCCTGTGCGTGAACCGCTACACACCATTGATTTAACGTAGAGAATGCTGAGTCATCAGCATTCTGCGATAATTCTAGAGATGGTATTCTTGCTCAAGCATTGAAGCATGCAAAAATCACTTGCTTCATTGACCTCATGGCTATGACCGATGTGGCGATTGACTCTCTTGTTTATCCAAGAAGTCAAACACCTGATGATGAAGGCGATTTCCAAGATGATCAACTTGCCCTGGTACCACTGTCCATTCGCAGTCTCATCAAGGTCATCCAAGGATACGTTTACTACCGCAAACATGTCCATAATGATCCTGTCAACCCTGACAACTGCATGGATATTGACTATGGAAGTGTACTTGACTATAGGGCTTCTGGAGAGTTCTTAACTTTTGGTAATAGAACTATTCCACAACCTATTATCCAGAAACCCAGTCGTCGTACCCCTGCTGATGAATTTGATAGAAGCATCAGACGAGACCCGTCGTCTTTCCCTACTTTTAGCAATGATAAGCAATGGGAAAACTACAATCGTAACCTCGCAGCCATCTGTCGCACTTACGGTCTCAAAAATGTCCTTAATCACAAGTACCGCCCACAAACTGTTGATGAAAAGGACCTCTTTGACCGTCAGCAGGCGTTCATGTATCAAGTCTTTACCACGACTCTCCTCACCGATAAAGGCAAGCAATTTGTTCGTGAGCATCAAGCAACCTTCGATGCGCAGACAATTTACAATCAACTTGCTAAAGCCTACACTAAGTCTGTTAAAGCTGATGCCACCGCTACTGGACTTCTCCGATGGATTATGACTGCTAGGCTTGATGATTCATGGCGCAACACACATGAATCATTCATCATCCATTGGCAAGAACAAGTACGCAAATACCACACCTTGGCAGACATTAGTCAAAGGATGCCCAAAACCCAGCAACACCTGCTTCTCGAACAAGCCCTTATTGCTGTCCCTTATCTCAATGAGATTCAGAGACTCTCTAGGATTCTCGAGATGCAAACGGGTAAGGCAATCATTCTTGACGACTATGTCACACTGGTGGAATCTGCAGCCCAAAGTTACGACACCCGGCAAGTCTCCAAGCCTATGCCTAAAAACAATCCTAGTAGAGATGTCTACTTTACTGGTGTGGAAGATCTAGATCCCAAAGTGGACGACATTGACAAATGGACCGACTGTATCACTGGCGATGGAGCTAAGAGCCGTTTTGATCAAGTAGATATCCTCAAGAGAAATAAAACTAAAACAACCTCAAAGGATTCTATTTTTGATGAAGCCATACACTTCTTTGAAACTTTTCAGTATGCATCAGCATTTGATGAACCGTACAAGGATTCCGAATGTACAGATACTGGAACAGATTGTCCAGATACTGGTCCGGACTATTTTGACTGCAACATGGTAGAGTCATCCTGTCCAGATCCGTACTACATTGATCCTCCCATCTTCGTCATGCCTGAAGCCAATAAATCATGTAGGCACCCAAGTGTTATACTTGTTCCTGATGCCTCTATCAAGTTTGATGTTGAGGTGGGACCATTGTTCACCAAAGGATCTTCTCAAGAGTTGACACATGATTTGCCAACTAGACCCCCAAAACCAAAGGACACGTTCACTATTGACGTACCTTCCAGACCTCGATGCAACACAAGTTGCAAGGTTTGTTTTGGTCATGGTATTTGGCCCGGCAATGGGGAGCAACCAGACACTGGACCTCCACGAAGAAACAAGCAAGAGCACAAGACTTTGCCACTAGCTGATACTATGGTGTACAAGAACCCAAGCTCAGCAGTGAAGTCTTGTGAACGCAACTGGGAGCGACTACGTCAATATTTTGCGTGGTTACCTAAGCATTCTTTTCACTGTACTACTACTGATCTAGCTAGATCTCCCACAAACGCCCACCTTGAGCACAAATATAATCCTCTGTCTCCACTTCCAGAGCCGATCAGTTGCATGGTCGTCTTGGTAGGCATCGCCAAGCATGATTGTCACAACATGACCAACATATTTCTGTTTCTCGAAACGAACAACGTCTTGTTGCCTTCTGACATATTCTCTGCTCTACCACCTACCGGACTACACAAACGTCTTGTTCTACCTGATGGGGAGGAGTTAGTGCTCCCTACAATAACCAAGTCAATTGATCTATCTGATGGGGAGGAGTTGACACCCCCTACAAAAATCAAATCTAGAGACCATAAGTCCCTCAAGACCATTGTTCATTCTAGTGATGATGAATCAGATATAGAAGACGTTCTTTTAGAAGAAAAGGACCTCATTGGACGGACTTTCCTTCTTTCACCAGATGATGAAGGTTATGTTCAATGTGCTAAGATTGTTGAGCTTAATTACAAGCACAATCGCAACACGGGCATTCAGCCTGCACGCATTCAACTATGCTTGAACATTGATAAAGGCAAATATGAACATGTTATGGCCTATCATGAGATCCACAAGTGGTCAGAAACTGACATGGACAACCCCATAGACACGAAGCTGAAGCAAGGTTGTAAACTTCTTCAAAATATAATGAAGATCAAGAGGAAATTCCTTTGTCCAACCAATCAAGTCAAGCTGAGATTGCTACATACTACTACACTAAAGTATATGTACAACTACGAGATCCAGAAGAACCACAATGGCGTCCTTCGACTTGACAAACTCCATGGCAACACCAACTGGAAGCATGCCACCAAAGTTGAGATGGATCTGCTTGCAAGGTACAAGGTCCTTGTGGATATGGGGAGAGGAACCTCAATGACAAAAGATCACCAAAAGGTCAGAGTCCAACTTGTCAATGCCCTTAAACATTGTGACAAACACAAGCCCAGGCTCCTATCGTTTGGTGACCTTACCCACGTACTGCCAAACAAAACAAGACCCAGCTGTCTATTGACAGACCAATCGGTTGTGGGTATACTCCATCATATGTTGAATGGAACACCAATCGATTTCTTCTCTAGGGAGCAGTCAACTGTTGAGACTGCTACTTATGGTTCTGAGTTTGTAGCCACTCAAACCTGTGTCAAACAGATCATGGATCTTCAACAGACCTTGAGGTACCTTGGTGTGCCAATCAAAGGTCAAAGCTACATATTCGGTGACAATGAATGTGTTGTGAACAGTTCTTCCCGACCTGAAGCAAAGCTACACAAGGGGCATGTTGCATTGTCGTTCCACCGTGTGAGAGAAGCAGCAGCATGTAACATGCTATCTTTTATCCACATTGACGGTGTTCTCAACCCTGCTGATATTCTCAGCAAGCATCGGGGCCATCAGCAAATCTGGCCACTATTACGGACTCTAATGTTCTGGTCTGGTGATACTGCTGATCAAGAGGTATAGGTCCTCTCACTTTGCCCCATTTGGGGAGTGACAGAATTCTAATAGGAACGGGACTCGTGACTCGACCTATAGGATTACCAGGTTGAAGTATAGCCTGTGCCTTGCACGCGTTGCCTGTGCGTGAACCGCTACACACCATTGATTTAACGTAGAGAATGCTGAGTCATCAGCGTTCTGCGATAATTCTAGAGATTTGCATGGAAAAGTGATGAACGAT